GGGCGAGAGTCAGCAGCAACTTGGCGGGAGAAGCAGCAGCAGCATCACTTCTTGCTTTTGCTGCTAAGTAACTTTCAATTGCTGCTGCTGTTCTCGGAGACTCTGCTGCTCCCAACTGCAGCAGCCGCGCGCTCAAGTCCGTTTGGTTGAAGAAGGCGCAAAGCTCTTCAAAGAACAACTCCAACTCCCGCACAAAACCCTCCGAAACCTGCTGCTGCTGCTGCTGCTGCTGCTGCTGCTGCTGCTGCTGCTGCTGCTGCTGGTGGACGCGCTGCAGCAGCTGGCGGGTGGTCTCGAGGTCCTCGGGGCCCGCGCATCGGTGGAGTTTATTTTGGATTTTGTTTTTAATTTCTTTTTTTAATTCCAAAGAAATGTCATTTCGGTGAGCGATGCTGCGAATGCGAGTGAGCGGCTGCGCAGCGCGAAATGCTGCAGCAAAAGAAGGCAGCGAGGGCAGCAGCAGCCGCAGCAGCAGCCGCAGCACAGCAGCAAGGTCGTCGCTGCGGGAGCCGAGCGCATGCAGCAGCAGCTCGAGGTGTACAGACACCTCGCGGGCCAAGTTCGAGTGTCTGTTCGGCCGAAAGTGCTTTCCATCTTCTTCACAAATTATTATTCTTTGCTGCAGCAGCTCGCTGTAGATGCCTGCGAAGCAGACTGCGTCGATCACGCTCACCAGCAGCTCCGCGGGCGCTCGCGACAAGCTGCTGCTGCTGCTGCTGCTGCTGCTGCTGCTGCTGCTGCTGCTGCTGCTGAGGGGCGCCGCCGACAGCAGCACCGACTTCAGCAGCTCCAGCTTCGCGCCCCACGACGGCGCTGCTGCGTCGCCCTCCACCAGCATCTGCAGCGCCCTGCTGCCGCCGCTGCTGCTGCTGCTGCTGCTGCTGCTGCTGCTGGCAGCAGCAGCAGCGGGGCCCAGCAGCCGCACGCAGCTGCTGCTGCCCACGCAGCCCTGCGGGGGGCCCCCGGGGGGCCCCTGAGGGGACAAGTCGAGCCCCGAGGAAAGGCGTTTGAGGGAAGAAGAGAAGGAGTCTTGCGAGCGGCCCATCCAGGTGGCCTCCCGCTGCTGCTGCTGCTGCTGCTGCTGCTGCTGCTGCTGCTGCAGCCGCTGCTGCTGCGCGCCCCCCGCAGGCAGCAGCGGCAGCTCTTCGTGCTGCTGCTCTCCAAACTTCGCGCAATATCGCAAACAGCAAAACTCCGAATTTATTTTTCTGTTCTCAGAAAGTTCTTCCCACAACACCTGCGGGGGGTCTCCGCCCCCCACCACCACAAACTTAAACTCCACGGGGGCCCCCGGGGGGCCCCCCGGGGCTGCGTCGGGGAGCCAAAGTTCGGGGGAAGTCCAGAGGGGAAAAGAGTTGGGAGAAGTTTGGAGAGGAACTGCGCGGCGAATGTCCCAAGAGCCGAGTTGGCTAGCTGAGCCAACGACAGCTAGCCACTGGCCAGGGACTGTGCTGCTGCAGCGGCACTCGAAGACCACCTGCCGCACCATTTGCTGCTGCTGCTGCTGCTGCTGCTGCTGCTGCTGCGGCGGCGGCGGCGGGAACTCGCAATCCCGCAGCAGCAGCAGCGGCAGCCGCGGGGACAAAGGGGGAGGGGCGGGGGAGCAGGCGCAGCGACGGTGCTGCTGCTGCTGCTGCTGCTGCTGCGGCTGCTGCTGCTGCTGCTGCTGCTGCTGCTGGGGAGGGAGGGAGGAAAGGCAAGGGGGAAGGCAGGCGGCGGAGGCGGGAGGGCCTGCTGCTGCTGCTGCTGCTGCTGAAGAAGCCAAAGTGTGCAGCAGCAGCAAAAGAGGAATAGAAGAAAAGTGAGAAGTTCAGCAGCGCCGAAGACTCGCTTGCGGGCTGCTGCGGTGTCCGTACACCTCAGCGCAGAGCCGGACCGCCGCGGAACCCGAAAAGGGCAGCAGCTGCTGCTGGAAGGGCCAGCAGCAGCAGCAGCAGCAGCAGCAGCAGCAGCAGCGGACGAAGGGGCGCAGGCGGGGGCGAGCTGGCGCAGTCCGTGGGGCCCCACCCCCGCTGCAGCTCCGCGGGGGAGTTTGGAGGTTTAGTCAGTGAAAAAGAAAAGACTTTTGAAGTTTCGAAAGGGAAAAAAGACAAAAGGCGGGAGCAGCAGCTGCTGCGTGCATGCTGCAGCTGTCTGCTGTCGCGGGCGCCGCCGGGCCAGCAGCTGCTGCCGCCGGGGCGGGAAGCGCCAGTTCGCCGTTGTCTCTCGAAACCAGCAGCACTTGGCGAATCTTTTTGCAAAAATGTGCAAAAAACTCTATTTAATATCCCGAAAACCTGCAAAGGCGGCGCAGTCGCAGCCCCAGACCGCCGCAGCCGCACCGCGAGCGCCCGGCGCCTCCATGCACCAGAGCCGCTCACCCCGTTCCCGCCGCCGCCCCAACTCCTTTTTGGAAAATAAATTTAAATAAATACATTTGAGCCGCCAGTTGTGTTCTTTGCGCTTCCACAGAGGCGGCTTCGCTGCGGAGTCGCCGCGAGCAGCCAACACACCTGCTGCTGCGATCACGGAAAGCTGAACAGCTCGATTGCGCACCAATTGCCCGCAAAAAGAACTCCTTTTCTCTCGTAAAATCCAAAAGAGATGCTTAAATGCCAAAGAACTGCTTTGTTTCTCTTGTCGCCTCCCACTAAAAACGAAAATGAGCTCTTCAGCTCCCCGCGAGCTGATCTGTTCAGAAACTGCACAGCCCGCTGCGGTGTACGTACACTCCACACTCTTGCACAAACCGCCTCCACTCCCTTCTGCACTTCCTCAACGCCAAATGTTTCACTTTGCATTTATTTTTAATCCAAAATGAATTCTAAAACCTCTACGCAACACAGAATGGCTGGCGAGGGCTGCTGGGCACTGCTGCCACCCCGAGGGAACCTCTAAACCGCCTTTTAGGGTTTAGGACGAGGGTTTAGGGCGAGGGTTTAGTCGCTAGGGTTTGGACGGGCTGCGGGGCTTTGACCTCTGTTTGAGGGTTTAGCAATTAGGGTTAGGGTTTGTTGCAATTAGGGTTTAGGGGTTTGGGTTTGGTGTTCAGAAGACAGGGTTTTCCCTCCCCAAGGGGGCCAAACAACTTCAAACAAATAAATTAAAATTAATTGAAAATGAAGGACTAAACAAAATTTTAATTAATAAAAAGAAGAGGAAAGAATTAATGAATAGAGTCAAGTCCACACAAACAGGCATAGAGTCAAATATAAACAACCGAAATGAAACAAAGTGAAATCAAATTAAAAAAAATAAAATAAAACAAAAAATAAATAAAAACAAATAAATCAAATAATTATATGCTGTCTGAACACCAAATCCAAACAGGGCCTATTCATTCTGTTCACTTTTCCACTTTCTACTTTTTGCTGCCTCAGGGAGCGCTGCTGCTGCAATTTAATGGTTTTTTGTCATTCATTTTGTCTCTTTGTTGCTGCAGCAGCAGCTGCAGCTGCTGCTGCAGCTGCTGCTGCAGCTGCTGCTGCAGCTGCTGCTGCAGCTGCTGCTGCAGCGGCTGCAGCAGCGGCTGCTGCAGCTGCTGCTGCAGCGGCTAGCTGCCACTGCAGCAGTCGGCAGCCACTGCAGCAGCAAACTGCCGCTGCAGCAGCAAGCTGCTGCCTGCTGCAGCGGGCCGCAGTGCGCACGGGCAGCTGCTGGTCTGAAGTGGCAACAGCAAAGCGGCTCCTCTTCAGGGGTTTAGGGTTTAGGGTTTAGGGTTGCTGCTGCTGCTGCTGCTGTTGCTGCTGTTGTTGCTGCTGCTGCTGTTGTTGTGTTGTTGTTGCTGCTGCTGCTGTTGCTGCTGCTGTTGCTGCTGCTGTTGCTGCTGCAGCTTTCCTCAGTGCTCATAGCCCCAGCTCCGCTCTCCTCTGCTACTCGCATGCAGTAGTTTATTTTCTTTTTATTTAATTTAAAAAAAAAGAATTAAAATAAACTTTTCAAAAATCAGAAAAGTGGCAGCGGCGCGGCCGCAATGAGGTGTAGTGACACCCGAAGAGCTGCTTTCACGGGGGCCAAAAGAAGTCTTTCAGAAAATAAAAAAACACTTTTTGTTGCATGCAGGTCCAAAAACAGGAAAAGAGTTTGCTGCTGCCTCCCAACAAGAAGAAAGTTTGTTGCTGCTGCGGCTGCTGCTGCTGCTGCTGCTGCTGCTGCAGGTGCTGCTGGTGCTGCTGCTGGTGCTGCTGCTGCTTCTCAAGTTTTATTTTACAGGTAGCTGCTGCTGCTTCGTAAAGGCTTTACGGGCCTGCAGCAGCTGCTGCAAATAAAAGTCTCTTTTTGAATTTTGGAAAAATGAAATGAATTTCGAGAACTGAAAAGTGCAGAAGTGGGGGCAGGGGGGGCGGCTCCAGGTGTACGTACACCGCAGAGCCCGCAGCTGCAATCTGAACAAATTGCAATATTGCAATATAACTAAAATTTTGCAATTAATCATTTAATTTCATTTTTGAAGAATTCATTAATGGAGGGGCAAAGGCCAGATCAAGTGCGCGGCGGAAGAGAGCCAGGGTGTACGGACAGCTGCTGCGTGAAACGTTTCGAAAGTTGAACAGCGCAGCTTCACTTCATTTAATTTCCTTTTTTCTTTTTTGAGGTTTTGCTGCATCTTTTGGGATTAAAAAGAAGTGCAGCAGCTCGAAAAGACCCCTTTAACCTGCAAAACAACTGAGACTGAAGCAGCAGTTCTTGAAATGGTCTTTTTTGGCATTTGTGTCAGCCCGCAGGTGTCTATACACCTGGCGGCTAAGGGCCGCCAGCAACAGCGCATGCAAAAAATGTTTTTTTTTGCATTTCATATTTTTGAAAAGGCCTTGGGGCTTTAGTTGCGAGGACTTGGCAGGAGCTGCAGAATTGAGTGGGGCTTTTCAGGTTGTTTCTTTAGGGACTGTTAAAGGCTTTAATTAAATGCCAATTAAAAGAAAAAGAAGAAAAAAAGACAAGTCGGAGCTGGGGAAAGAGGCAAGCGGCGGGGATGGGGCCTGGCCTCCTGTGGTCCGTGACCGTGTGTCGGGATCTGCCTGTGTCTGGCCCCGGGGGGGGGGTTGGAGAAGCCACTTTGAGAAATAAATACCTTTTTGTGTTTGGAAAAGTCGTTTAATGTTTAAAAGTTGCAATTTGAAGAGGAAAGACGCGGAAACGGGGCCGGGAGGCGCAGCAGCAGCAGCAGCACAAGTCACTGGAAAGGCACTGCAGCACAGGGTCCATCCCCCCGGGGCGCTGGGCGGGCTGTGTTGGCCCGTTTTGAAGTTTGAAAAAGCCGTTTTGTTGAATTTAATTGCAAATTAAAAAGAAAAAATAAAAAAAAAGAAGAAATGCGGGCGGGGGGGCTCGTTCTCGAAGCTGGAAGTTGAATCGGAGGCAACGAAGCAGGACTTGCGTCTGTACTGAGCACGATCGAGCACGATCTCGTGCTGCAGCAGCAGCAGCAGCAGCAGCAGCAGCTTCAGACAGAGTTCTTTTGCGTCTTTTTCAAAATTTCCCAATTTAATTTCTTTTCCCGCGACTCGGCTTGCCGCAGAAGTCCGAAGCAGAGCCCCCGAAGCGCAGCTTTCCTGAATGCCGCCAGTGCCCGGAGTGGAAGCAGCAGGCTGCTGCTGCTGTCTTTCTCCGTAGCCTTTCTTTTCAAAAAGTGTTTAGCAGCAGCTTTTTGAAATTTTGAATAAAAAGGAAAACGCTTTCGCGCGCGTTTTCGGAGTCTGGACACCGCAGCCCCCCTGCGGGAAACTTGAACTTTCGCGTCGACGCTGCGGCGGGGAGGCTTCACAACTTTCTTTTTCTTTTATTTTTCCTCCGTTTGCAAACATCAAATGAACAAGTCCATTTCTCTTCTCCAAAAGTTCCATTTCTCGCCGTTCAACTGCAGCAGCCCGCGTGGGGAGCCGCGCAGCAGCGCTCTGCAGCCGAAGGCGGGCGGCGTGCCTGCCTGGGGCTGCAAACCCTAAACCCTAAACCCTAAACCCTAAACCCTAAGCCCCAGCGCCTCGCCCGCGTGCCCGCCTGGCGCCGGCGCTCGCGCCGCGGCGGAGCCAAACCCAAACCCTAACCCCTCGCCGGCGAGGCGCGGAGCAGCAGCAGCAGCTGGGAGCAGCAGCAGCAGCAGCAGCAGCAGCAGCAGCAGCAGCAGCAAACCCGCAAACATGGCGGGACAAGAAGACATGCTGGACTTGTGGTTCAACGTGGACATCCGCGGAGAAGCCCCTGCTGTTCAGTACGAAGGCAGCGTGCGGGGCCAAGTGCTGTACCCGCCGTCTTCGCGTGCGAAGGCGCAGAGTGCTGCTGCTGCTGCTGCTGCTGCTGCTGCTGCTGCAGTGCTGTTTGCCGTGCTGACGTGCTACTTGCTGCGGCGCAAGCGGCTGCGCAGCCGCAGCAGCAGCAGCAGCAGCGAGCCCGAGGAGTTCAACTCCGACTCCGAAGGAGAGTTGAATTCAAATTATGATGAAGACAGTTCAGAAGAAGAAGAAGATGAAGAAGATTTAGATGCAGATGAAGAAGCAGAGGAGTCCAGCGGCGAGTTCGGAGATTGGGATCTTCCCAAGAAGCTCCGAGACGCGAAGCCGCAGCAGCAGCAGGACTTCGAGCTGCCGCCAAACGTGGTCCAGTGGTCACGGCGCTGGAAAGACGGCTCTGCTGCTCAACCTGCTGCTGCTGCTGCTGCTGCTGCTGCTGCTGCTGCTGCTGCTTCTGGGTACAATTCGCCCACTTCGTTCGCTGGCCCGGTGGGCAGAAAGCCCTTTTGCAAAAGTTCCCGAAATTCCGCATTTTGCAAATTTCAACTTTTTTGCAACTCCGGTGCATGCAAAGTTGAATAAACGGAATTACTTGAAAAGAGGAAACTGAAGAAGTTCTTATTTGAAAAGAGGAAGAAAAGAAGAACTTCTTCGATTTCCTCTTTTCAATAAGAACTTCTTAAAGAAGAAAAGAAGAACTTCTTCGATTTCTTTTGCTGCTTGATCTGCACAGGACACAGAGGCAATGTTTGAGAATATAGTGGTTCACGGCGGTGAGCTGGGCGGCGGGCTTGCAGGGAATTCAGAACAGCTGAAGAGAGAAACAGGAAAGGTGGAAACAGAAAAAAATTTGAAAATTAAATGCAATTTAAATCTTTTATTTCGAAATTGTTTGCGATCTTCAGGAACAATGGAGTTCAGAAGGCCATCGAGCAGTCAGCCGGGGAAATTCGACACCTTTCTGATCACGGCAATTCCTGTAGGGCTTTGGCGCACGGAATCTTGCAGCTTTCCGCGTGTCAGTTTGAAGTTTCTGCATTTTAAAAGTTTCTGCATTTCAAAAAAGTGAATAAGACTTTGAATGTTCTTTCTTTCTGCGTAGGACCCGTGGCTGCCCGAAGAGGAGCTGGCCTCGCACCCCCTGGCGCCGCTGCGGGTAAGGCTTTCTTTCTTGAATTTCTTGAATTTTGAACTTTCGAACTTGGCTCCCTGAAGAGGAATCTTTCTCACTGGATTCTCCTTTTTGTGTTTGCTGCGAGTCGCAGAAAGAGTTTTCTCCCGTGGCTGCTGGATTTGTCGAAGAGGCTCTGCAGAAGGTGCCGGCGAGGGAGCTGGAGGAAGGCGGTGAGTGCTGATCGCGGCGTTGTTCATCTGCTGCTGAAGTGCTGTTAAACATTATTTGAATTTAATTAATTTGAGCCAAATGCGCAGTTAAAGGCCTGGACGTCAAGAGAATTCAGTTCGTGTTTCCGCGGGGGTTTGCACGTTTTGCAGAACACAACCCGTTCAAGGTGGTCACCCTTGAAGGCTACGGGAAGTTCCTGCTGCAGCGTGAGTCTGTGCGCGAAGTTTATTTAACCACAAAGTCCGCCTTCAGCCTCTTGCAGCTTCCTACCCTCTTGTGGCTTCCTTTCTCTTTGCGTTTTGCTGCTTTCAGTGGCCAGGGAAGATCAGTACAGTCCGCTGCGTGCTCTCCCGCGAGGATCGAAGGCCAAAAGACCCACCAGAGAGCTGCGGAAGGAAGTGACAGTCAGCTCTGTGGTCCGCAATTTCACTGCAGCTTTTGAATAGTGTCTGGAAAGGCAGTTTTCTGCGAAGTGGAGCGGCACTGGCGCAGCCACCGGGCAGGTGTATCGCCATCTTTGCAACTTTTGCTTTTTTTCGGAATCTTCTGTTGCTTTTCAGGAGGGGGCGTCTGAAGAAGTCGAAACTTATCTGAAGAAGTCGAAACAATTTTGAAGACCGGGCGGGGTGAGACAGCGCGGAGGCGCGGGCGCCGTTGAGAACCCGAAAGTTCCGTTGAGAACTTTAGAGTTCCACTTTTCAACTTCGTCTCAAGGCAATTCAAATGCAAGACTGGACGAACTTTGTGTCTTTGTCTGTTTTTAGGTGTCATTTTATGCCACCTTCCCACCGCGGATGTCGCCGTTGTGTTGAACCAGCCTGTGAGTGCCTGGCGCTGCTTATCTCGGGAAAGCAAGTTTTAGAGAAGTCATTTGCTGCTTTCTTGAGATTTTCCACTCAAGTGCAGCACAAGTGTCTATTAATGTTTGTCTCGGGGAAGGGGAGTTCGGAAGAGTTGTTTGCTGCTTCTTGCTTCTGAGGTTTTCCACTACGAGCTGCGAAGCGCGTTTCTCAGGAAGGTTTCGACGAAGCTATTCCCATTCTGACGGAAGACTTTGAAGTGCGTTAGAGCCGAAGAAGAATTTGAATTGTCGAGTTGGTTTATTTGCGGAGATCAGCAAAAGAGTTCGCAGTTCCCGAGTCCGCGTTTCCCGCTGCGCTGCTTCTTGGCGTTCAGGATTTGGACTCTTTCCGCATGGAGCTGGAGACCGAAATCGAAAGTCTGGTTCAACGAGCTGCCAGCCAACCCAGTGAGCAAACTTTGGCTCTTCCGGCTGCTGAGGGGGGCTGTTGCTGAGTGCAATTGTGCGAAGATCGGGGGCTTGGCGGGGCTTTTTGCATTTGCATGCAGACCCCTACAAAGTGCTCCGGCTGGGCCACAGGCCCGGCGTGCCAGCGACAACTGTCATTTCGCTCTACGGTGAGAAGTCTGAGAGAGCTGCTGGCGACTGCGGGTGGCGCTGCAGCAGCGCAGCTTTCCGGCGGCCGCTGCGAAAGCTTGAGATGGGAAAGCGAAAGCGATCTGATTTTCATTTATATTTTTATTTTCAGGGAAAGCCTTGTAAAAAATAAAACGGAGGCGGACCATCTGGACGTCGATGGCGAAGTGGGATTCTGGGAGTTCAAGAAACGCCTGAGCGCCGCAGCGCTCACTGCAGCAGCTCTCCGCCGGGTGCAGGCCGCTGCAGCTTGTGCTTCTGTCATGTCAGTTATGTTCAAGTGCCGCAAAGGCCCTTGTTGCAGAGGAGAAGCAGAAAAGGCTTCGTTGGAGCTGCCTATTATGCACAGCGCCATTTGCGGAGGCTGTGGGCTCTGCTTGTCCTGCTGCGGCGAGCCAGTGCAGATATGTGTACAGCTAGGAGATGCGAAGAGTCTGCGGGGCACTTCTCGATGGGTTTTGCTGATGGCTTTTGCTGATCGTTTCAGCCACAGATCGCGGGTGAACGCCGTCAGATCCTGGGCGGTGCTCGCCAGGTCAGTTCAATTCGTTTTATTGCGGAGGAACAGCGTGTCGACGAACTTGCCTCGTCCTGCCAGGTGCAAACAGCAGAAACAATAGCCGATTATCATTTCAAGTTATTTCAGCCTTCAGTGGGATTCCTCTTAGTGCCTAGGGGCTCGTTCAGATTGTCCGTGTATGCACAAGACGCCAGTCTCAGCTGAGCCGCCCGCGAGAAGCTAGCAGCACTTAAGCCACAAAAAGTTCCAAATAAATGTTTTTTGCACTTATTTCTCACCGAGCGAGTCCAAAATGTGGTAAAAGTCGTCGCCGTCAAACGCAAACAGGCAGGAACGAGCCGCCATGTACAGGTAGTCGTTGTAGCCAGAAGCGGAGCCATCCTGCACGAAGAAGTATCGCTTTTGTTGCGTTTTACTTTTCACGTGGCTCCAATTTAGTTTTTTGGGAATTTAAATGCCATAAGAGCCTACCAGAAGGTGCAGAAACTGGTTGAAATCGTTTGAGCAGTAGACGGCATTGAAAGTCTTGCACAGCTCGACGGTGTATTCGGCATCTGCATGCAGAACTTGTCGAAAACGGAACGATGCCCCATTTGCACGCATTTGATGCATGCAAGTGCATGCATAGGGTGCAGTTTAAAAGAAAAAGATGCAGAGAGCTTGGGGGCTGAGACTCGAGTGTGATGCTCGAGAAATATGTATGAACTCACCCAAGGCATTCTTCAGCCGAGACCTGCTGGGGTACCAGTTGGCCTTGCCAGAGTCAGGCAGAACTATCAGCAAGTCGTCCTTTTTGAGGGCCTGAAGAAGACAAATTCCGATTTTGCACTAAGTCCAAAGGCACTTGTCTTCCCCAGGCTCTTAAAAAGGAACAAATTGTCCTTTTTGAGGGCCTGAAGAAGACAAATTCCGATTTTGAACTAAGTCCAAAGGCACTTGTCTTCCCCAGGCCCTTAAAAAGGAACAAAATGAAGACAAATTCCGTTTTTGAAATAAGTACAAGAGGGCAGCTGCGGCCTGCAGCAGCAGCGCGAGGGCTGTGCTGCAGTCTGACCTCCAGGAGGCTTTCGGGGGATTCGGTGAAGAGCTCTGAGTGTTCTCTGTGGCAAAGTGCGAGCCAGTGGGGGACGACGACCTGCACAAGGGCCCAGACAGAGGCCGGCGAAAACGCAGCAGCTGCTGCAGCAGCAGCAGCTGCTGCTGCTGCTGCTGCTGCGGCAGCAGCAGACGACCCCTGCTGCGGAAATCCAGGGCCTGCAGGTCCAGTGGATTTCCTGGCGTGGGTGCTGCTGCTGCATGCAGAAAGCTCAGCAGCAGCGCCTGCGTGGGTCCGCAGCGGCGGCGCTCGAGCTGCTGCTGCAGCAGCTGCGCAAGCAGCAGCAGCAGCAGCAGCTGCTGCTGCAGCAGCAGCCTTACCCTCACGGGAAAAGAAAGCTCCGCAAAGTGCGCCACTGCTATGCCAATCCCCGCGGGAGAAAGCCGCCGCCGGCCCCCGTGCTGCAGCGCAGTGTCCACCCCGTCTATCAGCACCTGCCGAACCAGGTGGTAGTCGTCGCAGGCCTGCATGCAGCGCCACTGCATGCATGCATGCATGCATGGGTGCATGCATGCGTGCATGCATGCGTGCATGCATGCGTACATGCACATGCATGCGTGCATGCATGCGTGCATGCATGCACACGCTTGCACAAGCGTGCACGCGTTTGCACATGCATGTCCATGTGCGCATGCATGCATGCATGCATGCATGCATGCAGGCGTTTCGGGGCCCTGGGGGTGTTTGCAGGCGCTGGGGCTGGGCCTCTGAGTGCAGCAGAGGGGGCTAGAAAGAAAGGCAATAAAGCCAATAAAGCCTTTGCAAAGGCTCTGCTGCAGCAACTGGTCTGCTGCTGCTGCTGCAGCTGGGGAGAAAATCCTCACCGCCAGATCGACTCTGGGAAAGGCCCGCCAGCGAGCGACGGAGTCCCGCGGGGCCCCACAGTCCGCAGCGGGGGCCCCCTGGCCTAAAAAGCCGCAGCGGAGAATATTGCATGCAGTCAGAGGCCCGCGCATGCATGTAATACTTGGGAATAATGTGCAATTAGTTCATGCTGCCACATTCATGCATGCATGCAACACCGGCAAATAGGCTTGTACACACACACACACACACACACACACACACACACACACACACACACACACATATATATATATATATATATATACACTTATGTATATATATATATATATGGATATATATGCATGTGTGTGTGTTTATTTCAAGATATATGTATATGCATGCATCTATATATATATTTACATGCTTAGACAAATCTGAATGCACCACGAAAACGCTTTTCAGGCCAGCACCGGAGAGGAGCACAAAAGTTCCCAAGAGGAAATAAGACTTCTCGAGATTTCTTTATTTGCAAAATCTCACTTTCTCTGCGGCTCCTGTGGCGCCTGGGAAGCACGAGCTGGAAGCCCTCAGCATCTGTGGTTTCCTGAGTTTCAGAACAGCGGCAGCAGACTGGAGCTGAGGCCCCGATTAAGCAGTTTTGAGGCATTTGAGAGCCTCAAAAAGAAATATTTGAGGAATAAAATGTTAAAATAAATCAAATAATGCATTTGCAACTCCGCAACAGCAACTCGGGAGGCATCTTACGTGGAGTTGGCTTCGGAGCCGCTGCTGCCGATCTGCAGAGCTGCAGCAGCTTGCTGCGTTCCTGCAGAAAGAAGAGCGCCGGGGCACTGCGGGCTGCGACGCTGCAGCAGTTTGTGGGCAGCGGCTCTCCCCGGCCACAGCGGAACTGCTGCTGCTGCTGCTGCTGCTGCTGCTGCTGCTGCTGCTGCTGCTGCTGCTGCTGCTGGGTTCGTGGGCATGGGGAGCGGCAAAGAGCTGCTGAGCAGCAGAGCCGAGGGCTCGCGCTATGAAGACTCCGGGCTCTGCGTCGCTGTGGAGCGGGGCCGCGAAGTGCGCCTCTGCGTCCAGAAAAAAAGGATCTATCACGTAAGACTTGCCTTCTATGTCGAGCTCGAGACGGCCCCAAGACTCGCGGTAAGCGTGGTCCAAAAGCTTCGTCTCGGACTCCGCGAGGGGTTTCCAGGCAGCAGCAGTCCCGTGGCTTTCAGCCCAAGCCCACTGCGAGCTGCTTCCCTGCGGATCCGCGGGCATCTTCGCCGCCGCTAGCTGCTGCGCAGCCCGCGCTGCCGGCGCCTCCTAAGCCCAGTCCGCAGCTTCTTAGGAAGCTCGCTGCTGCTGCTCGCATTGCATGCTCCGGACTTTGACAAGTGCTGCTTCGTTTGCCCTGCGCGGGCGCGCTGCAAGACACTGAAAACCCGCACACTCCTCGGGCGCAGACCGCTGAGCTGCTGGTCGGGAATGCCTCCTGAATGGCGCTGTCACAGCGGCATTGGAGTTGAAAACGCGAGTGAAACTTCACTACTCGACCGAGTTTCCCGCCAAAGCCGCATGACAAAACTGGAAAACATTACTCACACTACACAGCTGCCTCCCCACGAGGCTACACAGAACAGAGCCCCTCTACTGCACACGTCCGTCGAACACGTCTTAAATAAATCTGCAAAGCACAATTTTCAATCTTTGCTGTTTATTCATCAAGAAACAGAGTGTGCCGCAGCGTGCAGCAGGCATGCATTCAAGAAGCCTGGTGTTGGCAGACCCGCTGCTGTTCGAAAGGCTCCATCGGCAGCAATTTAAAGTAGCTATCGAAGCTGCGTGTAACTCGAATATTGCTTTTTTATCATGCCTTATGGATGTTGTTCTCTTTATAAAGAAGGATGATTCGGGCGGCAAAGGCAACTGGTGCCGCTCCGTGTCACCTTGCCAGCCACTGGAGAGCAAACGCTCACCGCATGAGTGCTCGTCTTTCATTGGAATATCCCAAAAAGGCAGCTGAAACTATTCAGTTACGAACAAAGTACTAATATTGCTACCGAGTGGGCCCCTTATTGGCGGGAAGGCGGCATGGCTAAAGCAGCAGCCACTTCTTGGGCAGCAACTTGTACACGCAACTAATCTGTAACTACTAAACTACACGCTCAGGCTGTCTACCAGCAGCTTTGACTGAACCATTAAGCCAGCCCTTATGTGCGAATTCGTGACTGAGCTTGTCCGTCTTCGACTGCTACCATGATTAAAGCTACTGCTTCTTCAGGGTAGTTAATTGTCAAATGACACATTGATAGACGGAATTAGGAATGTTCATGAGTGACAAGACTTGCACTGGAGCATCCATGGGGCTCTTCTCACTACAGACCGTGCGAGCTTGGCACCGAGTTTCAGAGGAGGAACAAGAACAGCGTCCGAGCCTAAGAGCCTGTAAGGCAGCGGTTCGAGAGCGTTGCAGCTCTCATACGCGCGGCTTGCAACATTAAAGTGAGTTCGGGCTACGCAGCTTACCTGTTCAGTGCGAATCTCCAGCTTACCTTTGAAGTTAAACGATAAACGCTGTGCAACTGCTTGGGCTATACGTCCCGGCTGCAGTTCCTGCTCTAGACCGTTACTCTCTACTAGCGGCAGCTGCAGAAGCTCCTAAAGAAGCGGCTTTAAAACACATTAAGAGAAGATTAGGAACCACGTCGGGGCCTGACCCGTTGCCGCGCTGCAAGAGTTGCTGACCCTCTCCCGGATCTATCAGCAGGAGGATACAAACAGTGCAGCACAAAACTGCTAAAATCTTCCGAAACACGAATTTCTGGCGAGCAGTTCTATTTATCTAATAGATACAAGGCGGGAGATTAGTAATGCGAAGTTGCGCCGCAGATACTGAACGAGAACGCAAGTTTCATGAAGCTGAGCTAAAATGTCACGTGGTAGCATGTAAAGCTGAAACGCGATCGAAGGAAAAGCCTACCTCTTTATTGCGCGTCTTAGACCCAAGCCCACGGCGGCAATGCATATTATGAGCAGCAACAACTCTAATGCAGCGAGTAATTCTCTCGGCACAGCGTCTTTCAGCCACTCCGGCAGCCAGTCAGTTAAAAACGCAAGCAAGTCAAAGTTCGTGTTGGCTGACGAACGATCTAGAAAGGTGTACCGCTCTGCGGCGAAGTCACACACGGCACATAGGAGATGCGTGCGCTGGTGGCTTCAGGGAAATGAACAACAAGGGATGTCTGGTTTCTTCACACATCTGTTCCTAGTGCGACAAGCTTGCGTATCCGCCCACCTATTGTAGCGTATGCAGCGTATTCCCCAAAAGGTCCCGTTCTGAGGACTGAAAGTGGCTCCTCGAGCTGCTCCTGGAGAGCTAGCAGAGCTTCAGCCGCTGTAAGCTGCCGTGGACTATCTGATCCTTCAGAGTAGGCTGGCCCATCCCCTACTGGAGGGTGAATCCGAAGAACAGCATTGATGCTTCCTTCGTAAATACTCATGACTTCAATGCGTTTCCTGTCGCCCAGCCCTGGGATTGCCTGAGCGGAGAAGCATGAATAAGCAGAAGACAAGTTCATGTTGCATTTGCGCTCGACAGATTTTGCTTGATCTAGTCGATTTCCCCACGTTTCTAAGTCTAATAGGCTTTTTTGCGTCATTCTGTTTTCGAAAATTCCCGTTTCCTAGTGTGGTGCTGACTCTGATTCTACGAGAACCTGAATGTGCCCTCTGAACAAGGGAAGTAACAGGTACAGGCGTGGAGCTCTCACTCATGAAATTCTCAAGCCCTTAACCCTAAACTCTAAAACCTAAACTCTAAGCTTTTAACACTGAACCGCAAAATCGTACATCGTAAGCCCTAACCCGCTCTGCCCTAAACAAGCTTGCGGCGGGGCAAACGTACCTGCAAGATTGCGTCAATCAGTGCTTCTTTAAGCAGTTGGATACCTCCTGCAGCAGCAACTGTTTTGTGGTAGTCCATAGCAATAGAAATTTCTGCCTCAGCTGTGGAGGGGCTGGCGACGCACTGGCGCCCATCACCTTCATACCCATCAACGCAACTGCAGAAATATCCCCCCCTTGTGTTAACACATGTTGCGATGGAGGGAGAGGCGCAGCTTGCGAGTCCGGAAGAGCATTCGTCGATATCAATGCAGCTCCCGCTGACAAAGATACACACAAGGAAGGAATAAAACCTTTATAGATGCATTTGCGCTATGGTGGCGATCATCCTTTCTACAGCTTTTATGCTCGTGCGCTGGAGAGCATTTCGAACAGCCTGTTTCTCTTTGATCTCGAATCTGAAAACCTTACTTCTCCATCGTGTAGCCCTCACGACAGCCACACGACCCGTCAGCTAGGCAGTGAAGTGTAGGAGGACACAGAGGGCGGTTGTTCGAGTCTACGCAAAGAGGCTCGCGGACGCCGCTACAAGCCGCAACAAAAAGGATCTCCGCAGGCAAGCATTAGGACTAGAGACCAGTACAGAGTGAAGGTGCACTATAGAGAAAAAAAAGACTCGCTCAGCCAGATGGCGGACGCCCTACTTCTTGCTGAAAGCAAAAGCTGCACTGCCGCCTTACCTGTGGCTCTGATTGCTGGGCCTGAACACACATCGCAGCACTTCAAACTCACTTCCGGACTATGCAGCTGCTTACGCATGAAGTAAAATCATTCTGACAATACCTAGCTTGCTGACAATACCTAGCTTGCAAGGGCACGGAGAGGATCCAAAGCTGCGCAAATCCATAGACGAGGCCGAATTTGCTCTTTGGAGACGTTCGTTGTTTGGGCTAGACTGAAAATGTTAACGGTTCTACAGAAAACAGTGAAAAGGACTCAATGCAAATTGATTTGTTTCATCTGGGAGTTTCAGGCTTCGAGTGAAAACAGGACGTACATGCAGACATCTCTGCCGTCTCCGGTGTATCCAGGCTGGCATGCACGCAAAATCAACACACAGACGAGACAGAATATTTGGAGCCTGACTGTTTTTTTGTGAGTTAAAACTGGCTGTGTTCGGTCCAAAAGGTTCAATTGGAAATTTCACTTTCACGAAAGGATATAGCAGGGGCGCACGTTATTCTGTGATGTTTCTATCAATTGCTCTTTGTGCCCGAAAAAGAAACATTAGTCTTTGCTGGTTACGGGAATAAGATGGCAGAGAAGCTGAGTTGGGGAGCCCACCTTGCATAGGCACCTGTAACTGCCCTTGGTGTTGATGCATATGGCCTTGGCGTGGCAGATTGCTTCCTCGAAGACCTTACACTCGTCGATATCTTCGCAAGTGGTCCCGTCTCCAGTGTAGCCCTTTGGGCACCTGCGAGGGCGCTCAGGCAAAACTGCAAAAGAGGAAATTCAAAGCCAGCCCCAAGAACATACATTGTAGTGGTGCAGATGTTTGCCTATAACTCGATAAGCCGCTAATGCTCATGCACATTGCGTCCCAATGCGTGAAATATAATATAGTCATTTTCCAAGTTACCTGCAGACGTAACGTCCTCTCGGCCCCTCCCAAATAGTTGCCACTAGTGGCGTTTCCTGAAAATGTGCAAAGCATTTGCAGAGCACAGGAGGCCCCAACGCTGCTGCTTTTCGTTTTTACTAATTCAGTCGATATCCGAAGAACAAACCCGAACATATTCATCTCGTCTCTCCAAATGCCAACTTGTGGCCTCTCGCTCTAAATTTATGTTACTTTTCGCTGCTTTCACGTGCTTAGTCTGTTTGGCTAAAAGGCAACAGCCACCCCTAATGGATATTGACCCACGCCGGTGCACAACTAGCAAACCGGGTCTTGCCTGAGGTTCTGATCTGACGGGCATTCCCTCCGCCTCCTTTCCTTCAGAGTTTTCTGAATGAGGCTTCGTTTTGATGTGACTCTCGAGATGCTGTCCTCTTCCTTCATCAGATGTATCTTCGTAGGCTTCGCAGAGAGCTATTTCAGAGCATCTGTTGCCCACGCAAGCGCCTTTTGGCTACGTTCAAACAGGACACGTCGGGCGCCAAACAATAGTAAGCAAGCAGTATACACTGAAAAAAATTCATTTCGAGGGCACCCTTTTAAAAGAACTAAAAGTCCCATAATTCATTTGGAGTGATCTTTCTGTAGGCAAAGTGAATTGCGCTCCTCACTTCCTGCTGCTCTAGAAGGTCTTCCGCAGCAGCATTCAGGTGTGCGCAGTCTCCCCCATCAAACCCATACCTAAATACAGAAAGTCACAGGAGCAGACTGTCTGTTGAGCCCTCCCCTGTGCATATATACTCAAGGAACTAGATGCCACGATGCCACGATCGTTGCACATTTCGGCAGCCCCATTGATAGGCTGCGCACGCTGCTGTGTCGCATATCTCGTCACAGATGCCGTCTCCTAGCCAGTAAGGGTGGCACGTGGAAGAAGACGGCAGAGCACTTGAGGCTTGTAATGCTTCTTGAGCATAGTCTCCGAAGCCGAACGTTTGCTCTATGGATTCCCAGAGGCTCTGAGGAAAGGAAGGACTTTGCCGTTCGGGCAACGGCACTGCACTTGCTGCCACAGCCCTTTGGTCAAAGAGATCTTGTGCGATGAAACCCACAACAGGCTGCACACAACGCAAACGTAATGGGTTTTTCCAGGCTTTTTGCTGGTTCGTTCACGGGCCCCTGTCACTCTAGTCTTCGAGTCTGGGTAAGTGAACTCTAGCCAAAGTGCCAGTGGGAAACGCTCATACTCTTTCCGTGTTTTGCAGCACTTCACTTCCTTCAACGTTCATTTTGGAGCGCCGCTCGCGAAGCAATGAAGAAATGCTACGTGGCTGGAGAACAAGTTTGTCCACTTCGGACTCTACGTTCCAGAAGAAGGTGGCTTCCCCAAGGGATTCCTCAAGCACAACAGCCTCAATGTTTTCTTTGGACCCTTGGTTAGCTTGTTGGCCCCAGAAGGCTTGATGCTGACTGCTAGCTGCCCTGGTAAACGACGAGCTTTCCGAAAATCTAGCATCTCCATGGCCCGACGAAAAACCCGCCTGGTGCCCTGTTGCGCTACTGCGTGATTGATATGCAGCATTCGTACTTATCCCAGGCTGTGCAGCGCGTTTGTTTGTGGGGCTCCCACCTCTCTGAACAAGCAAAGAAGAAGGACTGCTCTGCGTAGGCGAGAGCTTCTCCCTTTTCTTGAAAATGGTTCAAGCCCTCGAGAACAGTCGGGGGTGAAACCACAGTCACTAATCTCCCTCAGCAGCACGAAGAGGGCACCTACTGCATTTGGGATAGACGAAGGAGTCTGTTCAAAATCTTTCTGGGAAACTGTTGTCCTCCGGAGGCGGTGCTCAATGGGACGCAGCAGCCCTCCCTTTGAGCGAGGCCACTCCGTTGCTTGTTCGTCCTCTACCACGTAGAGAACCTGCGTGCATCGCCAACATCTTGCAGATTCCCACCAGAATGTGCAGGCAGGACAAGAAATAGAGGCGATGCCCCGCTATCAAACACACTTTGTTCCAAATGAATGGTTTGTAAGGAAATGCTGCAAGCTTTCAAAAGCTCAAGGGGGCAATAAGAAAGGCAATGAGTTATTTCTCACCAGTTCACTGGAAGCCCTCCGATTCTCATCCCACTCTGCCAACAGGTAAGCCCTTGCCCCACACTGCCGCTTTTTGTCGACATGCCTCTGTGGTTCCCTTCCTAGGCCGTCGTGAAGCAACCAAGACGGTGCCCCAGCTCGCACGCTAGAAAGTTGGCGCGGCTGAGGAACTTTAGAGGCATCATCATCTTTCTCCTGCAACTCGGCATCGAATTTGGGCTTTTGGCTGCTGCGCAAATTCGATGAAGAGCCTTGCAGAGAGCTGCTTGATGCTTGCTCCTGCGAGTTAGCTGTAATTTCATGAACTATTTGAAAATTGTGTGATGGCGCAGCTAGTGGAAGAACCACAGAAGACAAAATGTGGCGTTTCACGGGAGCTTCCTGCGTATTCATATCCTCAACAGGAGAGCTGCTAAGTTCCTGCAGGCTGCGCTTTTTGAAGCCTGCAAGATCAGCTGGAAGCATGCGCGCTGTTGCTTGCCCTGCCGTTGGCCTTGATCCGAAGGAGTTTTGAGAGCTCTTCGGCGCACTCAGAGCCTCCGTATGCAGGAGAGAATCTTCCAAGCACTCAGCAGCTAGTGCGTCTTTAAAAAAGAGGAATGGAAAGCTGAAAGTGGTACCCTGAAGAACGGTCAGCAGGCAGCATCTTGACAAAATGTTATGAATGCAAAATTCACAGCAGAAACGGCGCAAGGACAAGCATATTACGCCCATTTCTGGAGTAGCGTATGCCTACGAAAGACTTGCCCTTCCCGCTCCGAATCTGGATGACGCAGGTCCATCTTGAATTGCGACAACAATTGCTTCTACGTCCTTGTCTTTGGCTGAGCCGCTCTGCGTTTGTCTCCGGGGTCTTGGGTCCTTCAGAGAATCGTCCAGATGCAGTTGCTGCCTCAGGATCCAAACTTGAGTGTCCCACCACCCCTGCACCACTGTAAATTCGCGGAGAGCAGCGGCAGCGTCTGATGGCTCAGCTCTAGCGTCGGGCGCCTTGCCTCCCGGAAGACTAGCTTTAGATCGCGCATGCAACCTTTGGGTTTCTTCGGGCATCCCAGTGGAAGTAAGGGGAACTGCTGAGCTTTTCACTTCGGCATCCGTCATAGTCGCTTGGGCTGTGCTTGTGATAATTAGTTCAGGTTTCCCGTTATTCGCGACACTAGAAGCGAAACCTGTGTGCGAAACGCAGCTTTGATATTCAAGAAACTACTGTTTGTTTCTCCTCAAGGAGGTCCCAAATTACTTAGATGCGTGGTTTAGAGACTGCAGCTGGACAGCACTTCCCGAGAGGTCAAAATATCAGCAGCCACGCATATTGCCTCCTACTTTTGCAGATACTGCAATCTTTATCTAAGACATTCACAGGTTACATGAATGCAAGCCGACACAGACTGCATGAACCAGCGTCGTCATCACCAGCATGTAAGGGGGCTAATGCTCACCTCTAAACATCATAGCCGAAGCCACCGTCGCTGGAAGCACAGCAGAGATCCCCACAGCTGGCCCTAAATGCTTGTCTAGGTACGATTTGAGGACTCTACTGCACAGAATGCCGAACCATTGCGGTGCTTCTGCGCCTTGCTGTGGCATGATGCCCGTAGCGTCTTGTGCCGCATCTCCTGTGCCTCCCCATGGAGCGTAGCACACGCTACCCTTTCGATTGGATAACACGGATGAAACGAAGGAGGAAAACTTTGTACGAATGGTGCTGGTGTAACGCCGGGCCCAGCTGGCTGCGCTTCGGTGAGTTTTGCAATTAACCTGCGCAACAGGTAAATCACAGGCTTATTTGAGCGCCTTTAGTCCTGTCAGCTATCGTGCCACAAATGCATGCGCATCAAGCAACAGCCAAACAACGTAGGAGTATTGCATGTGCACCTCAATACGCAGAATACGCAGATACTCTGGGGTGGGGCCAGTAACTCCAGCGCTTTTACACAAAGCTGCAAAAGATAAAACAGTGAAGCCCGTGGACTGTTACTTAGGGCCATGCCTCACTGCCATGTTGGGATCAGGAAAGTAAATGCTCAGGCCCCCGTATCTGCCTGGTTCCCTGCTACCAACTTCGGCGACGACCATCTTCTTAAAGAACACCCGAGCCGCGACGACTTTATCCGTCAAAGCTCTTTGGGCAGCACCCAAGGCATTTATGGCGTACAGTTGCCCACTTGTATGCTGCAGTCGTCTGTACGTTATGTCCCGCATTTCACTGTTACTGTCATCCCACGAAAACTCGTCATCGTGACCAAGTGACTGCATGCTAATTCTACCTAAGTCATTTTCCTCGCTTGCAAACTGCTGCAAGAGATTTGCCAGAAAGTCGTTCAAGTCATAACAGCTGCATAAGCCCAGCATTCGGCAGCCTCTAACGTTGAAAGTTTGAGAAAGCGCGCGCCGCACTCGTCGGGTTATATTGCTACCTCCGCAGGAATAAAGACCCTAATATGCATCCAATATCAACACAGAAGAGGCAATAATGATATTCTGCCGTGGCTTTAAATGAAGATGGATGCAGCCGCACCATGAACCCCGTTCCACAATTACACATACACGCACACACACACACACACACACACACACACACACACAACACTGCTGTTGACTTCCATCTAGATCTGAAGACTTCTATAAACACAGCAGACAGCACAGCCATCTCAAAGTACTCCAGATGTCATGGAGGATCCAACGCACAGCAAAAACGTTGTGCAGCTGGAGCTCACCTCCAGTAGTTCTTCAAACTTCTGTTTGAATTCATTGAATGCTCTCACTTCGATAAGAGCAAGCGTCAAGGCATTGGAGGACGGAGGGTGAAGGCCATAGCTGGTAACAAAGCGTGCGCCATACTCGAATGCTGTAGCCGTTCTGTAAGGAGGAGGTGGCTTCCGGGTGAGAGAAGTTGGATCCATGGACCTGATTGAAGAGTTGACACGAAAAGTACGTATTCAAGAGCAATAACTTTGTTTGCAGTACTACAAAATAATCTGGAACTGGGTTAAGTCATGTACGCTTTCTTGCAAACAAGCGCTTCCCATGAAGCAGAAGGTGTGCGAGAAGCGTGCCTGTAATTCCATCCATGGCCCGGCTCGTTCTCCTCGCTGGCTAAAAAGAAGTGGGTTACTGGAGCGAGGGCTTCCAAAACATCGTAAGAACCCATGAGGCATGCGTCAAAGCCGAGGAGAGAAAGGCGAAAAGAAGGGTCCACCTTCCCTAATTTACTTCCTGAAATGCCACTGCAGAAATGAGTCAGCGACCTGACAGAAAAAGAGATACTTACTTGCCAGTTTCAGCATACTGCACGAAAGCCTATACTCACTTTTTGAGTCCCAGCGCGATATCATGAATGCTCATCGGCTGATTGTTGGGGTTGCTCTCGTCATCACCAAACCCAGCCCAAGCCGACCCGTGATTCCACAGGATGACTGCGTAGTGCCTCGACGGAAATATGTCGAGGAGTCGCGTCACAGCAGTTCTTAAAACTCCAGGGTCATTCATATCAACCTACGGAACCAGATTTACGCACTTTCCGTTGAAGATGGACATGAGTGGCGTCGCTTGCAAGCCAATGGGGCGTACACAGAGACTCGAAAATATCTTGATCACCAGATTAGTACCAAACCACGTGCATTTGCACCTGCAGATATACCTAGAACGTCGAACGGAACGAAACTACATAAAACCACGAGCGAGGCACTGCCTGTTTCAAGTGCTTAGTCGACAGTATTGTGTGATAAATTCACCTCTCCAAGACTGCGAAGGAGCAGCCATTCTCGCCTGCCGTCTTGCAAATGGATTCGCAGCAGCTCAAATGCCATTTGGGCATTGAGCTCGACTTCACTTGTACCTGGTAGCTGCTTGACACCTTGGCCTAAACTGGAGTATTCCAGCTCAGGGCATGCATGAACTGTCCCCATGTCTGTTGAAGTGGTCTGTTTGCTACGATCAATCAGAACGACAAGATACAGGTCCTCTAGTGCCTCTTGGGCTGTGGAACCGCTCAGTGCCGATCCCCCAACGGGCAACGGCGGCGTGCCGCGCCCTCGCATAGCAGCCCGAGCATGTCGTTTCACTACTTCGCCTCTCCACGGATGCAGCATTTCTTCCAAGTCTAATAGAGCAGATTCTTCCAAGTTGTTGTCGGCATGAACAAACATGAGCTGAGACCAGGCGCGAGTCGGCATATCTCCAATGCGTTGAGGTAATGAATCGCAAATCGATCGTCGCGGGAGGAAGGATGGGCCTTTTTTCTTCCTGCTCTTATCCAAAGACGCTGCGACTTTGGGCTTCCCTGTGTCAGATGTAACGGGGCTAGAAAAGGCGATACTGATTATGGACTGAATGACCGCTGAAAAGCTGCCTGTTTCTTCACCCTCGAAGTTCCCTAATTGCTGCATGTACATCATTCCCTCATCTTGGCCCTTTTCCACAAGATGTGTCGTCTGTACTTGGTCGTCGGGGAGCTTTAAATTTATACAACGCCCTGTACCATCTCGATAGAGTGAATGGAATACCTGGCTTGGCCCGGTACACGCCAGACAATTGTCAGCCTTTCCACGGCAGCAGTCAGCACGGCAAGCAGCGCAGGACACGTGGCAGTGACTGCCTCTGTTGAATTCCAAGAACCCGCCCTCTGGTTGCTCCAGTGGTCTCACATTTTTCCCAACGCATGATGAGTCCGAAGCTAGACACGAAGAATGTGCCGCTGCAAGGGCATCGCCCCCGAAAGCCAATGGGATGCAGTAACCACTACCATCTCGGTGAGCGGCAATGTGGGCATGATACTGCTTCTTGTAAGAATTGGAGCCGTAAATATCAGAGGGAAGCTTATTGGGGTTAGGTGGGTGTGAACCCGCCGATAACGGCCTGTAGGGATATGGCAACTGGTTGAAGCATGTAAGGCAGCGATCTCGACCAGGCTGTAAGCAGCTTGCGCAGCCCTTATGACACGTGGTATTCACTGAAGGCACAGTTACATCTTTTGAGCTATGGCTGTCTCCTATTATTGCCTGTCTCCATACAGCCAAGTGGCGTGCCCACTTGCTTAATCGCTGGAGGGCTGTGGCCTGAATAGGCGTGTGGAACAAATTTCGATGAATGGCTGCATCAGGAGAGTCGCCGCCAGAGGCAAATGATCCTTTCAATGCCGATTGGCTCCGTGAAAGTATCCCGCCCGCAAGGATTGATTCAGAGGAAGCTAATAAATCTCCTGCACTTGCGTTGCTACCGCCTGTGGCGTCGGCTAGAACCTGCGGAAGCCACTGCTGCTCACACGGCGCCACCATTACACCGTTCAAGGGCCAACAGCGGCATGTTGGCGTCGACGCCCTAGGTAGGGCCTTCTCATAAAAATCTGCTGATTCCTTGGTTTTTCCCCAGTCAACAAGAAGTACGGAGTATTCTTCCAAGCGACTGCCATTCACCGTGAGCATCTCCCTGGATTCCACAGCTGCGCAGTAGGACGGTGGAATGAAGCAAAAGTCAGTAGCTTTATCAGAAAAGCCTATGGAGCATGCGGCGTCGTGCAAAGTTCCATGGTGGAGTCCAGTGCAGTCACACACAGGTAAGGCTCCACGGCTAAGTTCTTCGACGAAAACCGATGGAAGTGCTTCGGCTGCGTCTGGTAACTCGGCCTTAGTTGGCGCTGTTGTTGCTAGGGGTATATATCCTGCAGGAAACACACTCACAAAACATAGGGTACGAAAATAGTTGAAGCACCCGAAAAAATTTACAGGGCAAAGACGACGCTTCTATGGCATCGTTTCACGACAAGCCATAACAAGCCTGTACATTCAGAATGACCAAAAGGACGAACCTTAGCAGATAGAAGAATTTACAGTACTAGAGACACTGCAACTCACCTGTTGTGGTGAAGGCCAGCCATGTTGAGCAAAAGCGGCTGGCAAGCAACCACCAAAACCCGAAGCTGAAAAACAAGTGGCCTCCAAGTGTCTGCGTCTCTTCTGGCATCCTTCTATCAATAATTCCTCAGCTCAAGCAAATAAGCCGTCTAGAGACGCTCAGCGTGGCAGCATTAGAGACAGGCCTGTCAAAGAAGGCTTGTACACTGCCACTGACATTTCAGGGATGCCACCAGGGTTTCCAGTAAGGTGAGTTGGCAATCAAATGGGAGTAGTGTAGAAGCAGACGAACCTATTGCGTAAGAGCACGCTCCCCAGAAGAGGATGTACTACCTTTCTGGGGACACTTTTGTAGAGTGCTTGTAGCAGGCCAATGGGCACTGTGTCCCTCAAGGTAGAGCTTCAACGGAGTTATGGACTGGGAGTGCAAGGTACGGGAATAGTCAACCATGGATTGGAGTGTAAAGACAACGAAATCAAAATATACTTTAGATATTTTAATCAGGGGTAGGATGGGCCTGTCAGCCCCAGAATAGCTAGGGGGGATCTCGGGTGACCCAGGCCAGGGTAATCCCATACTGGTGTCTTCTCTTGCGTTCAAATCGCGTTCGAATACAATTACATGTTCAAGGCTTCCGAAATTGTTTGAGCTGCTACATTTTGTTGGGGCGAGGTGTGCGCGAGTGTGCTCCGTCTATCCGGGGTGGCGGCGCAGTACCGCACGTTGCGTTATTCAGTCAGCGGGGCCTTCTTCAGTACTGAAGGTGACGCCCTGGAAGAAATAAAACTCAAAAAACCAAAAGGGTTTATCATTTAATGATAATTAGCTGCAAGGGAATTCGACGAGCGAACAACCTCCGCAGAGACAGGCCCTCGCTGCAGCCCCAGATCGGCCCTCTTGATCTACGCAGTAAGCGACAAGACAGTCACACGGGAAAAAAATCATTTATATTGAGTTGCAGTTCTTCTTTGTAATGTCCGTCTACCTTTTATATTGAAATCAATGCGAGAAGGCAAATACTGAGCAGTGTTTCAGCTTAGTTCAATTTCAGGTGTTCCGCCGATGCTCGAACATTGTTGACGAGTTAGTTTGACTGTTGGGAATGAATGTATTCAAAAAGAATGCGCTTGTGTAAAACCCATTTAAACTACTTTTGGTGCCTTCTATAGGGTTTTTGAAAAGCAACCAAGATGCAATCAGTCGTCACCCCTTCTGGACTCCAGTGCTCAATTCTTATTAGTTTAACGCGTTGAAAGTTTCGTTAGGTAAAGTAAAAATTTTCAGCTGAAATTTTAAACTCAATATTTCTTTTTGTATGTGTCCCACGACTGGGCCGCGGCTACGATGGTCATATGCGATTTCAGCTTTACCTTTTGCCTTCTACTGCATTTTAGTTCCTGCTAACCTCCTTGTGTGGTTCTTATCCTGCTTTAAGACGACTTTACGTTTGTCTTCAGTAATTTTAGCAGATTAGGAACGGTTGAGAGATTAGAACACTAAATTCAGGGGAAGCTGAATGAATAGCCCGCGCAGTGATCAGTAGAAAACTGCGTAATGGGGATGCAGAAGAACCACTCGCAAGAAGCTTATTGCGCGGCGTTTGCACAGATGAGCTGGGGTTTAGGCATGCATGTTACGATATAAAGGTTTATTTTTGGCAGTCTGCATTAACCAGGAATCGGCGAGTTCGCAATTTTTTTGCGGAAATATGTAAACCCTGCCAAAAGATACCAGCTTTCTTTGTTCTGCGCCTCCTCCTGCCAGCAAGCCAGGCAGGCGCAGTCGCGTCAGGTCATGTAGGGCTATGTTTCCCAGCTAGCGCCGTGCACTCGACTGCATTCCCTTCAATAAAAGGCAAGGAACTGCACCATTTATTGATTCTGACTACTGCGCACGACTTAACTTTCATCAATAAAATTTCGTTCCCGTCATCAACTTTACAGTCCCGTGTTCAGCTAATGCCTATTTTAGGCGCCGTCCAGAGACATCACTGTTGGCAAGGGGCAACACGTCGCAGCACTGAGAGCGACCAGTGCAGCGCACGCTTGACTAGTACAGCCTCCTCAACAATAGTGCTTCATATAAAAGTGCGCTCCTTACCGCGAATATTTATCCAAGGCCAATACGTAACCTGCTCCTCCCTTTATAATACTCCAAGTTATTCTCCAAACTACTGCTATATACATCAATTTAATCTTTAGTTATGGATCTACGCTGCAGCCAGAGCGGTGGCAGTCGCTTCATGACGCCGTATGTCCAGGCAAAGTCCCCAGGGTGCTGTCGTTGTCTACCATATAATACTCTTCCAACGTACCTTATCGCTACTATTTCGAGTCCTATATATAGATAGAACGCGATCCTAGTATGCATTAAGATGGAATGACTGACCAAACTTTGCTGGGGAGAGCACCAAGACCAGTGTCCAGCACAAACCATGCCCTCAGCCATTACCCCTGTGAATTCGCTGCTTCACACCGCTTAGTGTCTCATTTATTCGACTGATTTGATTGCTTCACGCGGATTGTTCTGGTGTATATCAGTCTAGTTCCGGAGACTGCACGGCTGTATCGAGGATAATTCGAGCAAAAGGCACCTAAGATCAGAAGCTTGACGAATGTTTCAAGATTTGCCCACTCTAAGCTCTCAAACTAGTCTTCCGCAGTACTTTTTTTGTGCACAAATGCGCGACGCTGTTGGGAACATTGAGTGCTCGCGCGGCAGCAATTGAAGCGTAGCAGCGCTGGTGCGCGCTTGGCCTACTATCGGTGGCGAACTGCAGCCAAGAGGATGGATGCCTTTGGATTCACCCGGTATATGCCTTTTTGTCGCTGGGATTCTGGAAACTGGGGGGATTGCTCTATAGCTATTGGGTGACCACAGCCATCACAAACCAACACGTCTACTCCCTACACGGCTTCTGGCTACTTTCTCGTCCCCGTCTAACCCTCTCTGAAGAATCGGCTCACTCTAGAAAGAACTTAAAGAACTGATGAAAGCCTTCTCAATCCATTTCTCTGTTTGCTCAGCGAAGGTTTTCTTTCCCTTGCCTTCACCGCCTGCCTGAAGCGTTTCCCGTTCCATTCTTGCGCAGCTAGCCCTTGCAGGCTATGCGCGAGACCAATATAAAGGCAGTCGCAGGTCTCGATATGCAAGACATCACTATGGCGCGAAATCGCTAGGCAGTTTTCCCCTCGTTGCAGGTCGCCTTCCGAGGATGAACGAGCGGGAATCTGGGGAGAGGCGCTAAGGGTAAATGAGGCGCTGCCTCTAAGAATTCACACCATTTAGACACTGTTTTAGACCGGCATAAAGGAAAATGCAATCATTTCTCAGGGAAACATTGGTAGAAAATCATATGCGAGCGATGAAGAAGGGCCGTGCGACTCTAGTCGGTTAGGGCAAACGTGAATTGTACCAGTTTATTCCATCTGTGGGGCTAGCTCATAACATTACGAAGCACAATGGAACTGTTTATTCTTTTTGTATGTAGGGTCAGGTGCAAGCGCCCGCATTAGAACGGCGCGAGCTTCCACGGCTACTACTGGTCTCAAGCTATTTCACTCGAATTCAAAACAGCGAAGGCTGGGGCAAGTACATTTGCTAATAGTAAGTACGCTAGTGCTGAGTGGCGCTGTTGAAGCATTCCGGTGCCACGGGGATAGTTCGGCCCTCTTTATCAAGGGGTTGGGACATTTGGGACATTTGGAGGTCCAATACAAGGTACCGGTGTTACTAAATAGTGCCAGAAGCTATTTATATTGTAGTAACCACGAAGGTGTTGCGCTGCAAAAGTGGGCCAGCGGCATTCGCGCAACCTGTAAACACCGCCAGCTAGTGAGGGATGAGTGGTGGCAGGAACAATCGATGCCTTCGGAGTCAAAAGCCTTTTTTGTTAAAAAAAATCCTCATTTGATTTCACCGTCGTGCTAATTTGGCTATTTCAATGCTTTGCTTATATGCCTGCTAGGAATTGTGTATTCGCATGCAGCAGCACCACAGGAGGCCAAGGCCCAAACTACCCAGGAAACGTGCTACGGATCCTTGACTATAGCCAACATAATCAAGCTTATTCTGCATTTAACCCGTCCTTCTGTGCTTCTTGAAAACTTGGTTATGTGTTTTGTTCCTTCGTTGGCCGGTTACTGCCGCACAGCTGACGCCGACAGACATGACGTCGGCCCGTCCCTTTTCCGTAGCCTGTGGACCATGGGTGTTTCCGTAATAACACTTGCATATTCGTAAGGGAAGCTTGAGATTAGGATTGTGCGGCAGGTGCGGCCCAAAACACATAGGTTGGAGCTTCCCTCCACAATAGATGATGGGGGAATCATCTAGCTGGAGTGAAGAAATGCTGAAAAGCAGGGGGCCGCCAAATGCTGACAATACGCATGTTCAGCGTAGGCAAAGCTTTGGTCCTAATGCTTCTCAAGGACATGAACGCCAGGCTGCAACTTCCATCCCTCACACTGCACGTGCATATGAACCGAGAGACCCATCCCAGGAAGTAAACAGCTCGAGGAAGCTACAAAGTAATGCAGCAGTTAGCGCAAAAAATGAGGAGCCTGATTCTTTGCAGAGGGCTCCCTGTGATCAAGATGGGAATGCGTGTGATGCCAAGCCCGTAACATTTGTAGTTCACGCAGCTCCAGCTGTGGACCCTCTCATAGGTGAAGTATTCGTGTGCCCGCAAACTCTGGAAGCTGTTTGCTTGAGCCGAATGTTCGGCCTTCCTATGGTTATCACATGGGAAAAGATTCCCACTCCATCTTCACCGCAACTCTGGGGATCTCCCAGACATTCCTGGTGGCCACTGGAAGGTGATGGCCCCGCACTTCCCGCTGCTGTACACCCGAAGACAGGCGCCTTATTAAGTGGTATCCAGCTGATCGAGACTTTAAGGTCGTTTGCCCATGCTCATATGCGTGACCAGACAGTAGACGGAGTTAACTGCTGCCAAGCTGTCCCTGACGAGCCTGGGAACGGACCGATGAACGCAGAGTATAGAGATGCAAGAGGAGGCAGCTTACCTGATGATGTTCTTTGCATTGGAAATTGCGACGCGCACACTTGTGAATCAGTGGAGAAGGCGACTCGTCTCGCAGTCACTGAGCTTTTGCAGCAGGCTGTCCAGACAGCCTTGGTACGCAGTTGCTGTCTCCGCAGCAACCAACTAACTCCCAGCTCACTTCACTAGGAGAGGAACACTTTGCCTTTAATTCAGTCTGCTGTGTGTGAGTTATTTTGATGGTGGACCTGCTTCATTAGGAGGGCCTTTAAGACTCAAGGAGGAATGCTCAGAAAGCAAGCAACACGCACGAAATTTCACCTGGGCCAAGTGGCTAAATACTCATTGGGGGAGTGCTCTGTGTTTTGTGCTGCGCCTGCAGTGCTTCTACTTGTGGAAGGATGAGGCAACGTTTCGCTGTTTTACGAGACCTCTGTACAAAAATACATTAGGTTTTGTGCACGGGAGCTACTACTGCTGGGTTATGAAACGCAGTGCTTGCAGTTCGCGACTAGCTTGTAGAAGCCCCTGTGCATCACCAGAGGATTTGAAACGGCAGTTCCCGAGCTGTGTAGACAGCGATTCGACAAACGACTTGGTTACATTGGAAGAGCTCTTGGTCATTGACAAGCTCCGGAGGGCCCTCCGCGTTGTTGAGCAGCTGCTGCAGGGGAAGCAGTATTTAGGAGGGTACAAGGCGAGTGCGCTGGACGCTCTTGTTTTCGCACACCTGGCAATTCTGTTTTCTTTACCGCTACCTGGTATGTTTTGCCCATTTCGTGTGGCCCGCAGTGCAGTCTCATCCCAACGAAGTCCTCGAAGCTTGCATGCACTTTGTGTGTGGCTCGCCGTATGCGCTGTGTACTACTTTCACTCGATCGAATGATAGCTGTTTTTAATATGGCATTTCCTACTTTGCTCGGGTTAGCAGGCATATGGGTGTTTTCAGCCCTTTTATCGCACCAGTTTGCCTGATTTCCCGTTGCAGCCATGCCAGTGGTTTCTATCTTCTGTTTGTTTTTCAGATCACCGAGAGCTGCAAGCTCTGCTTTTGAATAAGGGGAGCTTGCTTCAGTACTGCCGTAGGGTGCAGGAGGTTTACCGTATTTGGCCAGAAGGGCCCTCGTTTCTTTTTGGTGTCTTGTCGCTTTCTGACGTGGCACGAGGAGCCTCACTGCGTGTGCATTCTTGGCGACAGAAGCGAATCAATGCACTTTATGGGAGTTATGACGACGATGAGGAGGCCAGCAAAGAATGGGACATGCAGCGCTTTTTGTGGTGGTTGGGCTCAGCTGCCATGTGCGCTGCTTTGCTTCTAGTTGCGGGCAAGACTCCCTTTCGCCTGACGCAGAAGCAGCTTCAGAGGGACTGTGAGGTTGTTGATGAAACTGCCGATTAGTAACGAGATGCGAGTGAAGTGCGGGCAGATTAGAGTCGCCTTGGTGTTTCGTCAGTGAAACTTTTGCTACACGGGACAATAGATTTTGGTTCTTTAGTATCACTCCTGAGGTGAAAGGAACACGTACGTTTTAGGGCGCACGACCAGACAGGTATTTTCGGTGACTGGATTGGGTCGCTAGCTTGCACAATAGGTCTAGCAATCTTGCCATGCTTCGGCTTTTTTGACCTTGCGGTATTATATTCTTTACAAAACGAGCATAGGAAATTGCCAGACCAGCGTCCTTGTAGATGGTGGACATGCGCAAACTTCTGGGGTCAGTGGGAAGGCATTGTATAGGAGATACGTGACGGGACGCCCCTGCTGCAGAAAACAGCAAATTGATGAAATATCTCTAATATTTCTGCCTCATTGCTTCATGGCAGGGAGCAGCAGTATTTACCATTCATTGCAGCTGCATCAATGCTGACGCTTCCGAAGGCTTTGTGCGGAATGTCTGTTGGCGAAGATTGGCGCCTCCTTCTCTACCTAAAATCTTTGCGTATGCTCAAAACTTGAAAACATACTGATTAATTCCAAGAGATATAAGTTAACTACCGCTTTAGAAATCATAAACCGAGACTGCCGAACTACGAGGTCACAAGCGAACCGTTACAGAACCGGGTGGGCGTGGTCCAGGTCCAGCTAGACAGCTGCACCAGCGACGAATACTGTCTTCTGACAATGAAATATGCATTTTATATGTGTTATTACTTGAAAACATAGAGTTTTCAAATCCACTTACTTAGTTGCCGATCACAAAGGGCTTGCACGGAATATCAGGAGACCCGACTGGTTATCGCGGTCGACCGACTGGTGGCCTGGCTTCGATGATCGGTTATCAAAGCGTCCTGGGTGTCAAGCTAGCACTGCATTTTCCAAATTTTTGCGGCATAGGATTACTTGCTTTTTATCTTTTCGGTTTTTTCGTCGGCGATATTGATCTCTAGCGCATGACCGATACTTCGCTCGGCGCTGTTGTTGCCAGTGGAAATTTCATCAAATGAGGCCGGCAAAAATTGCCGTAAACGTGCCAGCAGACAATGATGCAACTACGGTATCTCCCAGTTATCGCGGCGATTCCCCCTGTGTCCCGCAAAGTCCTAAAAAAAATCATGATGCTGGGACTATTCAATATCTTTTTACTGCCCGTTTTGCTCTTTGTACTGCCTTTCAAGGGGGCAACAATAAGCCTGGCAAGCAGCTTCTCATTGACACCAACACAAAGATTTGAAGGGCCAACTAATATACCGACTGCTATTCTCTCGCTGGATTCCACAGTAGAGAGTCTCAAGGGGAATGAGAGCTCGAGTCAGAGCGGGCACCACACAGACTTCTTGAGCCTCATCTGTCCAGCAAGCAGTCTTTCCCCCGATGTGACGGTGCCACCAAGTCGAGATCAAAACATTGAGGAACTGGAACTCATGCTGCTTGACAATGGACTAGAGCAAGCTGCAAACAGTGAGTTCACGCGAGAGCAACAAGAATGTTCTTCTGTAAACACAGTATAGCACTGCCTTCCTGTCCATCTAGAAAGCGTGGAGGGACATAATAATGTATTTTAAAACTTGTAAATCGATTTTCTCAGAACTCTGGTTGGCATTTTACGGCGGAGAAGCGACTTCTACTGCGCCCAGCGTGGAAGAATGGTCCGCCCAACATCTCGAGATGCTCAAGGACATAGATCTTCCAGGCGAAGAAGGAACACCTCCTGCAGCACATAGATCACAGCTTTTCTTTCTTCGTAGCATGCTAGCGAGTGGTTCGGAGGTACCTGAGGAGAGATCAGGCTTGCAAGAGGCACTTTTGAATAAACTGCGGAGCATTGCTGGCGTGGCTCTTGGAGGTAGTGCTATTGGAAATCACCTCGGGCATGCACATGAGTCTGTCCAAGAAGTGCACCAGCATAACTATCTGGAGAAAAATAAAGCCACGGAGCCGACTGGGTCACCGCTCCCGCGCTCAATAGTGCCTATAGTAGGAACACGCAACCCTTTTTGTAAGTTTTGCCGATCAGTACAGATGCTTGAAGAATCTGCTCTTTCACATACCACCGTTCATCTCGAATTTAGTTCATTGCGACTTGATTTTTTACAGTATTGGGTCTCTTCTGGAACCTATTAATCGCATATACAGGATTCGACTCCTACTTTGGAGAGGGCGGCGCCACTCTGCCTTTTTTCTCGTGGCCTTCATTGCTCTTGTCTCTCGGTGGACAAAGCAGCTATCACCTAGATGCAATGTGCTCAGTTAAACAACGCACATCTCGCATCGAAAAACTTGTTCCAGGGAGGCGCAGGCGGGCTCTTCAGCGAGCACGGGGGCAACGGCGCACCTCGCTGCTTAAGCCATCGAGCCATCGCACCCTTTGCGAATTATCTGATCGTCTTATGTCAGCTCTCAGTGAACGTAAGTACACGTTTAATAATGCAGGAATATTCCAGTAGGCAGCGATTGGCTCAGCTTTTCTGACCCTCGTGAGTCATTATTTGCTTTTGTCGTCTGGTTTACAGTCGTTATGGGACAAGTCAATACACTTGTAGAAGCAGGGGTGCCAGTCGAGCCAGGGATGCCGCTGCTGCATAATATGAAGCGACTGCACACCGAAACCTGCCTCCCTAGCGCAGACGGCAGTGTTCACATCCCTTGTGTTCTTGAAGAATCAAGCCTTTTTGAAGAATCACACGAGCTAACAAAAATCAGCGATGACTTCGATCAACAAGTTCTGCACAGTGCTCGTGCAGAATCGCTTAAGCAGGCACATACGACGATATCAGGACTTGGTACGTTGGCCACTCATAGCTCCAGCACTCGAACGCCTTCGACACACTACTAACAACATGCCATGTTCTCATAAGATTTTTGAATCTCTTTGCTTTTTTGCATTGCAGGGGCACTCGATTGCAAGATTAGTTCACGTGAGCTCAAAATTATTTTTGAAGGCCAATTTCAAAGTACTCTTTTTCATGCTTTGAAAGGTTTTACAGGCTCGGATTGTCATATATCGCGAAGCATTGTTGCTTTTTCTCACAGACCGAGCAAAAAGTTTCAGTGGGGCTGATTGGGGTTTGCAGCCTGTTCTCGTTGATGATATCCTCGAACAAGGTTAGTTTCACGTGACCAGCAGATTAGATTCACATGCGTCATTTAAGTTGGCAGAGAATTTCATCTGCACCATTGCATGCATACGGATGCTGTATCATGCTTCAGGAAAGGCAAGGACACTGGAACGTCTTAACGTGGCTGTTGCCACGATGCTTACAACATCATCTCTCGATTCCAGTAGGTTAAGTATGCGTTTGGTTGCTTATTTTGCCTTTTTGCCAGATCCATGAGCTACAAACTCTCTGTTCAATGATATTTGCGCTTCTGCAGCTTCAAGTTACTGGCTGGCTTTCGATCACCGCACAGTGCAACAAGCCATTGAAGATCTAAAGAAAAGTGGGTCCATCTACATCAGTACAAGCTAAAAAATCTACGGCAACTACATTCAATGCCTCAGAAAAACTTAACAGTTGGTCCCTCAACGATGCGTGCGCTTCATGGGCTTGATATGCAGGCGTCTTGCAAATTTTGGGTTCGCTACAAATGGAATCCGTTGCTACAAGACTACTGCGAGGCTCTCTTAGTGAAATTTCACATGAAGAGTTCGAAGCAGTTGTCTCTCGCCTGCGCAACCTTGGCGAAACAACAGATGGCCTGCGTGCTGCTCTTGCCCTTTATTCGATATGTAAGTTGTAGTCCTGTCACACAGACGGATATGCTCATACAGCGACATAGTTAAATTGGTGTGCCAACTCATTGCCTTCTTTGTATCAAAATCTACAGTGCCAAGTCGACTCCCAGAAGAAGGACCACCAACCACAATGTTATCTTCAATCCAGATGATGCTTGGTAACAAAAAGGGTCCTCTCATGTTGGCTATTCAAGACACGTCATTTTCGAAAAATGTTGCCGAACTTGGTGCACCCTTGCCGAGCCCAACACACATCTGGGTATTCGCTTTTCTCAGCTCTCGTGAAGGTACGGATACATCCTGAGCTGAAACTAGTAGATTTGTCTGTAAGGCCAATGGCTAATGCAGGCTATGCAACGGAACTGTATGTTATGGTCTCACCAGGGTATCCGCGACAGAAGGAAATCGCCCTCCAAAACCGAACGTGGGTTAAAATTTTGTACTCTCACGGGTTTGTCCCCGACTTCGTAAGAAACATCTATTTCAGGTCTACTGCAGGGGTACTAAAGCGAGCGAGAGAAAAAAGGATCCAGAAAGCTAGAGAAGGTGTGTTTGGTGAACGTAGCAATCGGTCTGATATTCGCCGCACTCAGCAGTTTCCGTGTTTGCCCGTTCCGTATTACTCTATATGTTAGTACGACTTGCGTAGCAGTCATATTCATTGCATGCGTGTGCAGTTCTGAGGAAAAACCTGCCTTCGGCTTTCTTCAAGAACCTTTTTCGCCCGTTCAAGTTTACTGCTCACAGCGCCGCCCTAATGCAAATTATTAACTTTCACTCAATGAAACACGACGAAGCAGTAGGAGATATGAAAAAGCGCATTGGTGAAGGGCCTTCTCCCTTACTGCGTCAGAAGGCGGTCTCAGCTTTAATGGACGCGCAAATCCAGGCTTGGGCATCACACGGATTGTCATCTACGCTGCTCGAATCACATGTAGACTTCGCAACATTCAAAAGGGCATGGAGCAAAATCGACTTAAAGGGACTTCCTTTGCCAGATCTTACAGATTGGTGGTCCCGTCTTCATTATTTCGTGGTGCAGGGGCTAGAATCATACTTGGCCCTAGAAAAGCATTTGGAGCCATTAGAAGACACCGTGTACACACTGGCCACTGATTCACTCAATAAACTAAAAGCTGATGGTGGTCAAACTCTATTTTTCACCAGAGTGGCCTATAAAAAAAGACAAGGCCCTTTGCGCCGTCTTTGGGAAGGTGCAAAGAAGTCCCTCATGAGCCTGCTGTACCGCTCACCTAGCAGGCAGCATGGTGTTTGGTTTGGTGTGACAGTTGATTTTGATCAACTACATGGTCTTCTTGACCAACTGAAGGAAGTAATCGAAGCTGCACCAAGCCTCGGAATCAAAGTGAACATGCAAGAAGCACTACTACGTGAAGTGGAGACGGAGCTTCGTGTCCAAGGTGCAGATGTTTCACGAGTGCCTTTTCTGGAAGAAAGGAATATTGGAATGTTAGGTGTGCGCCGCGACTACGGCAGTTTGTCTGAGGCAGCTCGAGAAGAAGAGTTCCAAGCGTCAATGTGCCTTGACCATTGTAGAGGCCTATGGCAGATGGCACTCAGCGGCATGCTGCCAACCATGCTGCGTCCAGAGACAATGCAGCGGTATGAAAAAGCATTCGGCACAACCTGGGCACTCAAACACCTTTCAGATCCAGCCCTTGTAAATTCAAGACGAATGATCCTAAAGAGCGACGCAGCCCTGAGCTTTTTTGATTATTCAACTCCGAAAGAAATCCGAGAAGAACTCAAAGGACTGGAAAGCGGCCAAGCTACAATGTTCGCTTATTACATGCTATTTTCTTCCCGGGTCCAGCAGCGTCTTGGTAACCAGTACTTAGGCTTGCACCTACGCCAGCAAGCTCCCTTCATGGGTAACATGCTGCTAGAGTGGATTTCAACTAGAAGGCGGCATGCAGTTGCTGCTATCATTTCTTCCTTTGTTCTTACTTTTATGGGCATTTACGCGGCCATGAGTTTCCTCGATATTCTACAGAACCTTACTGTTTCCGGAGCATCACCCCCATTTGACTGCGTTTGGAACCCTGTCTTCCAAGAGATGGCTTGCAATCCTGTTCCTGGCGGAGCGGCGCTCGGCACAGCGTGGGTAACAGCGCTTGAACAGGTCTTTCTTATTGGACTGTTTTCGGGATCAGCTGGAGGAATGTCGCTCGTCTTAACGATTAACTCTGCAATCGCTGTCATTGTCAACCAGTCCAAGACGCTCATGCGTCTACAAATGTGCTTAGGATCAACTGTTATGGGGCTCCTGCGGAAAGGTGCAAGCTCCTTTTCACGAGTCCGTCAGTATTTCGACAAACGCCGGGCTGTGAAGCGAGTTATGCTCCAGCGAGCGCTTGCTGGCATGAAGAGTGGTTCAACTGCAACCCTTATGAGCAACTCAGAAGCCACGGAACTCGCAGACGGTGTCCTTGCCAAGCTCATTGGCACAAGCCGTGCCACTCTTGTGAAGGGACCTAGCCCAAAAGCGTCGCCAAAGTAAAAAAAGGAGCAAATTAATTTTTTTATATTGGGGCAAAATTCCCTTTTTTATGCCGCAAAAGGCCACCGTAGGCCGCAAGCGTGTAGACGTGCTTCTTAGGGTGCTCTCGTTGAGTCCGAGCACCTGATTTTATTCCTTTTCGAGGTCAAAATCGTTAGTCGCGTGCTACTGTGTTGGACCAAAAACAGACAAAGTCATAGCTGCGAACAGCTGTTTCAGACACGTGGTGGTTCAGCAATTTTGCAACCCGCCTAACGCAATTGGCCATCATTTAGCTTCGCTGGCCGCATGGACGGTCGAGCTGAACCCTCCCTCAAACTGATATATCGCTGGAACAACGAAGCATGCAATCGTACCACGATAATGATCGGCAATTAATGACGCTTAGCATACCTAAATTACCACATTTCGAATCTTCAGCAGATACTGCAAGTAGATATTATGGAGAGTCTAAATATTTTGTAAACGGCAGGAATGCTCTTGTTTGACAAGCTGCGACTACTGGTTCGCTCATGCGCACTAGCTGTTCTCATATAGGAGTCATCTATAGCTGCACAACATGCACTCTAGGTCTTACTCTCAATTTCACTAGTCTACCATGTCGCGGTTCGTTAGAAATATTCAACAAATTGTGTGCAGCTACGCTGATTTGGTATGTCGGGAGTTTAAGTGAAGGCGTTTTATCGTTTGAATTGGGCTGCGTTTTTGATGGAGCGACCAAAAGACCTCCATGTTTCGCCAGGGATGGTATGCAGCGAGATGCCTAGAACCAACTACTTTTTCCCGCCCTTTCAAAAACATTCCCCGTGTTGCTGGCGTAGTAATTATGTGATTGACCGGGGGTCTGAAATGAAAAGAAACTGAAAATTCGAGTCAGAGAAGGAGCCTGCTGGAAATTACCTTGTCAACTACGCGGAGGCCGTGCTTCCAGCACTGCAAAAGATGGCAAGCCCATATTCTACTGTCTGCTGCCACGGAGAAATTATAGCTCGAATCCTTCATTCTTCGCGATATCAGAGACCATAGCTAAAAAGGCAGCATCGTCAGCAACACCTTGGCTCAAGTCCTGAAGACACGGCAATCCGCTGAATGACAGAAATCCATTAGCTGCAGAACCTGAGCGTTTAGGCTAAGAAAGAACTCGCTTTTAGTGGCAAAGCAACACTCTGCTGTATTTGCCGCCTGCATGGGTCACGGGACACTTACGGCTAGTGCTTCTAGCAATTGTGAAAGAGCCACGTGGTTGGAACTGCTACCCTCGGAAAGGAAAGGGTGTAGAAAATCGGGAATACTGCTTAGTTTGATCTGTGGGTGAGGGCGACAAATGCGTATTGTTGCAGAAGAGGACCCTGTTGCTGCGATATCCTTTGGAGAAGCGCAGATACGTTGAAAGGCGGCTAGAATGTTTCTTCGGCAAGACTCCATAGGGGCCTGCAGCACGCACTCATCTGGATGACTCTCGAATGATGATTTCAACTGGCTTTTCCGCAGGAAACCCAGCGCGTTAGCTACTTGCTGGTGGCATGTTCAATCCTTTTGCTAGTGGAAGGTTCCGGCTGAGTATTTCTGCGAAGTTCTTAGGCGAATGCATCTTTCCTCTGCAAATGCTTGACGGACTACTGTTGCAGCAGGACAGAAAAAACATTCAATACGTGCTAGTAAAGCTGGTGGATAAAATGTTTCGCGAGATAAGAAACACCACACAGAGTGTCGCTACTGTGTTTGTTACCCATAGAAAATCTACAAGATCTGACGTGCGTATTGATTCCTTGTCGGCCAATGTTAGTATCTTCAAAGCGCTTCTCAAATGCTCAAGAGGCTGCACGCATCGTCACTTCTAGCCAGTCAAAGTGCATCAGCCAAAAGTTAGCTCTCCCCCCTTCTGGTTGCGCAGACAGCAAAAGGTGATAGCACCCCACGTGGATTCATGAGGGTCTGCATATTCTTACAATATCTGCTGACTGCTGAATACCAAAGCTTTCCCAGAGGAACTGCTCCACAGATTCAGCTGGGACAAGGCCTCGAGCGTCGCTCAGTTCCCTGGGCACCGATTCGCAGCAAACGGACGCCTCAGTTTATCGAGTACTGGATTTAGGTAGCCACAGTTACTGTCGAAACTGTATATTCATTGCCTACTTGAGGACAGCTTTCAGAATAACAAATCCCAGATACCCTCTTGCTGCAAGTAAGGACTGGCGAAGCCTGTGCTTGAAAGCCTGAAGCGCTGGCTGCACAACCTGAGACAATCATTCCCACAATTCAGACCAGTACATCCCAACTCAGTTTTAGCACTCATAGAGAGTTCCGTGGCACACTTTGCCCAAAATTGCATTCTTATAAAGAGAGATGCAATGACTCTAGCATTTGTAATGTGCAAAACCAGGCAAAAATAGGCTTGCAATAAAGCTTGAATATGCCCGTTACCTCAGCTTGTGTCATGCATGAGGCACTCTTGTTTTTCAAAGATCGCTCCAGAATTTCTAGTGCTTCTGTGTCCTTACACAGACCCTACAGCAGCGTGGCCCATATCAGACCAGTGGAGTGTTGCTTTCTCCAGTAGTTAGTGTGTTACAATCTCTGCATAACACAAAACCTGCTTTGTTTCTGCTGCTTCTCTTGTGTTTGCAACGTACATGCAGGCAGCTTTGTACTGGGAGAGAAAAAAAGCTGTCTTTTGCAAATGCCATGCGCCCTGTTTGTGGAGTCTGCTGAACACTGGAACTGAGGGCACACACAAAAGCTACAAAAGCTACTTTAGTACGCACACCTGCCGAGAACATGCGAGTGCCGTCAGACCTCTGAAGTTCAAATGCTGGAAACCTGCAGAAGAACGCTCTTATTCAAGCTGAAGGAGGCTTTGACCGACTAACCTTGACACGCTGGCCAGTTCAGTCCAACGACTGACAAGTTCACCGCCCTCAGGCGTTCCCGATCTCACTTGCTGTTGAAGTATCACAACTAGAAATGCAGTTTCAGCTATGCAACGACCATTAGTGAGGGCAAGCTGGCTTCGAAAGCTACATCTAGCTTAGTAATAAGGACCAACAGTAACTTAATGAATGCTTTTAAGCAGGTATGGCATTGCTACAAGCCACCAGCAAAGGTCTAACTAGCATCAGGCTGTAAATCCACCTGCTGGAAGTACTGCTCGGCCTTGTCTGGTGACGTTAGGAGGTTGGCGCTCCGGTCATCAGGCACCTGCAATCATGTTATCGATAAAGCCTAGGAATCCGATGGAACTCGCCAAATACATCTCATTGCTCTATGAGGGTTCGGCCCACGGAGCTGCTCACTACAAACTTGTAGCTTGCCAAAGATTCTGACTCTGGGGTACGTTGATCTGCTCCAGTGCTAGCAGAAATATCCTAAGCCAACAAAATAAAGAAGTACATGCGATTTGATTCCTGAATATGCAGCTGTTGTGGCTGCTGCGGAGCATTAAGCGTCTAAGTATGCAGGTCGTGCAAGACAACCCTGTATGCGCAAAGTCAAGTGGTGGTTACTGCGAAGAAAAATACAGTGATAAATGGTGCCGCTGAGTTCGCAGTACTGCTAGCGTCCGTTGCATTGGCAAGCTTCCTCCATTCCCAACCTACCTGTTCAGCAGTGCGCTCTTTCAGTGCTATCTGGAGTGCCGCTGCATCTATGGCCTTTGTTCGGAACATACAACTTTCGCGCGCATGAGCTATTAGCTTTTCCATTCTTCTTGAGGCAAGCTCGTGTCGTGTCGGTGGCTGATCATCGCTTGGCTTGCGTTTGGGAGGATGAGTTCGGCGGCCTGCACTGGTGACGAAAGTTTCTGACACCGGGTATGGCCTATCCCCCATTACCCTCATAAACGTGTCCAAATGGGGAGAACTGCGGATAGAAGAGACGCTGACTGTGAAAAACGGCTTGGAAGTAGCAGAACTGAAGCAGCAACTGTAGTACGGCGTGCACGTGAGTTGGACACCTCTTCATTCCACTGTAAGAAACTAACGGAACTCATAAAATTCGAACCGAAAATAAACCTTCAAATAAATGCCTTGAGCGCTGGGTTACAGGATTCAACACCCCTTTCTTGGTCGTAAGGGCTACCTGTCGAGGTGGGTGTGTCCCGAAGCGTCTCGTAGCACCTCCTCTTCCATCCAGTTCCCTATTAAAGTCCCATGGCCAGTGACCACGGACTTATTATAAGTTTGACAGTAACTCATTTGTTCAGCGTTGCGTTATGCATCAAAAGCTGAATTGGTAGAGCCCCGGCAATTTCGAGTCGGCTAATTCGCACGTAATAAACTCCTCACGTTAGCTATACCGCTGAAGACAAATGCTCTGCAATATTTTACAGCTGCATGTGTGTTGAAGTAGGTATCTGATATGATAGGTCTCTGCTCAGGGATATGCCCGTTCGTTGAGTCTCTGTGAGCCTGCAGGTGGCGCACGGAACACAAGCGCACCAACCAGGCCACGAAGGGGCTTCAGCCTCTATGTACTCCCATCTAATGTGTGCCGATATATCAGGTTAAGTATTACTTGCTCTTTGATGGGCTGGAACCCTTGTTTAGAGGGCGGTTTTTGCCTAGTTGAAGCAGCAGCCAGACGGGCACGTGCCCCTCGACAGTTGTTGGGGTCACTTTAAATGCAATGGTTGGTACTTCTGACACTTTGGAGTCAAATAAAACTCGAAAAGCATTCGAAATAAATCTATGTAATATATATGCAATGATAGAGTATAAGTCCACGCGTTGTCGCTGGTTTTCGAGCCCCCAACCGGCTGGGGGTACACGTACCTTCGCCGCCGCCCCACAATAAAATATGCCTATTCATCAGTAATGGCTGTCCTTAATTCAATACTCAGCCCTGCCGCAAACAAACAAACATTTTATTTGATGCAAATTATATAGTTGAATTTTGTACGACGATAACATGAGGCATAGGCACAATTGTGTTGGCGACTAACTGGGGTCACTTTGCGCCAACCTGTGCGCCTCTTGCCGCATGAAACCATGTTTCAACATCTT